AAAAAAAAAAAAAAATTAAAAAAAAAATCATATAGTCTATATTAATCCCTTAATCATATAGTGCGCTTGCGACCTTTCTCAGTGGAAGTCCGACGCTTAGTTATCATGGAGTTTTTTCGTTATTAACTTGCTTGTTTGTTTTACGAGGGTCTAGGTCTTTCCTTTCTTTTCATTTTTTTCATACTCTTTGCTCACTTGTTTTTCCATCATTCTTTTTCTTACTTGGTTTTCTCTAAACATTGTTTTGGGGCTTTTGAAATAGAATTTATTCCAGGCAAAAACACTTAAGAAAAAGCTGAACATTATAACGGAAAACTTTATGGGGGAATTGTATTTAACTCAATCAGCAGTGCAAATGATATTGCAAATGGCGGTACTTGGGAAAAATTCATTACCAATTGCCCTATTTCACTATGACGTCATTGCTTGTTTATGTTGGGGATAGAATCGCCAAATTCAATAGAAAATTCAACACAATTTGCTCCTAGCGAAACAGTTGAATCTAAAATGGCCTGGTTTTCAGATATAATATGTGTTAATATGTACTAAAAAATATTCTGAGCGTTTGCTGGCTAATCTACTTCTCTTCGTGGATTGATACGGGTTTTAGAACAATTTTCGGTGAATTTGCGTTGATTTGACCCCCTCCGACGACCATGATCCTTTGCGTTAAAACAATAGATTGTTTTGATGTGACGTCATAGTGAAATAGGGCAATTATTATAGATTAAAACTGTGACACATAAATTAGTTTTTTATTCTGTGCATATTTTCTATAGACAGCGTGCACGAACAACCCGTGCTATAGTGGTGTGGTCTGCAATCCAGTCCTTGGTAACCCAGCGAGGGATTACTCCTGTATTTGTCCCCACTCTGACAATACGAATGTTCAGAATTGTGATTCAGGTAATATTGATATCCAGCAGCTGGTATACATCCCGCGCATGTGACGTCAAAGCAGCTCAATTTGGACGACAAATCAAAAGAATTTCAATATCCTGAGAATTGGAAACCTATTGTTATGTCCTCCAAATTGAGCTGCATTCCGAAGTGCTGCAAGGGATCTATTAACCACTTTAAAAAAGCGATCAAAAAACTGTCAGTAAATTAAAACTTAATTCTTTAATCAGCTGTAATTATATTGCTTGTGTGTCTGTGGAACTACTGATATCGGTTATCAGTTGATTAGGAGTCTAATTTTCTACTTACAGAACATAAATGCATTGACGGCAAAAATAAAAATAAAAATCTCAAAATTTACTTTATGCTTCTTCAAATTTCTTTCTTTTTATTTATGGCTGTTTCCTATACATTTTTGAACACCATAAGATGCATTTACAATGTTTACAACATCTTTCGATCAGTCTTGAGTAACTTGAGTATATGATAGAATGAGTGCGATCTTCCCCTGGTTACTCCAAACCCGCAAAGCATTATGGGAAATGAAAGCAATATTGCCTTTATAACATCACACTCATTAACATATTGGAAGTATAAGGCCCCGTACACACGTATGCGCAAATTTTTGTATCCGCAATTTTTTTTTTTTGCGGATACGGGTTGCGTCCACACGTGTCCGCAAATTTTTGTGTCCGTATCCGCAAATTTTACGAAAACGGATACGTGTGGACGGTGAAAACGATTCGAATACGCTGCGTGTGGACGCAAACATTTAATTCGTATCCGCAAAAAATAATTTGCGGATACAAAAATTTCCGGATACGCGTGGACGGGGCCTAAACCTTGATATCTCCAAAATGCATACTCAATTCATACAAAAAAATTGACTTTTCTATTATTCACTTCACTGTGTTATCAATACTGAAAATGTGTCTTAGCTGAGGGGCATGGCACTTGAGGGACGTAGTGAAAATTAACTTTTGGTTTGTTTAAATGCAGGTGACGTTAAGTGCAATGCCCTTGGCATGGAGGCCTTAACGATTTTAGACTCACAAATTACCGCTTCCAGTGAGCATGTTAGCGGAACACATCCAAGGACGCATGCTCGTGTAAACTATGCAGGTTCGTGGGTCCCCAACTCTGCAGTGGATGCCTGGATTATGATTGATTTGCTGAAGTCTACCACAATCTTGGCGGTGGCTACACAAGGGAGGCATGATTCTGCCGAGTACGTTTCAACGTACGAGGTATATTACCGCATGGATTATTTAGCTCCCTTCACGGCTTATCAAGAAGATGGAGTGGTAAAGGTAAGTGTGAACTGTTAGCTAGGGGTTTCTGCGTACGTGTCTTTTCACTTACCCATCCATCCATCCATCCATCCACCCACCCACCCATCCACCCACCCACCCATCCACCCACCCACCCATCCATCATTTCCATCATCAGGTAGACAGAAAGACAGACTTCTAACCAAATATATGTTTTTGCATTGTAGACACTGATTGGAAATAGCAACGGAGTTGATGTTGTCAGACATGAGCTGAAAGTGCCATTTGTTGCCAAAGCAGTGCGATTCCTTCCTAAGACATGGACCCATACAGGTTTTGGCTGGCGACTGGAACTATATGGATGCTATAATTGATAATTATTAATAACCTAATATCTTATAAAGAAAAATGACAAGTTTCCTGCACACAATAGAAAATGAACTCATTTTCTCTTTTTAGACTTTTTCAGCTTTAATATTTTCCCATTTCAGACCACATATTTATCTCTCTCTTTACATACATTACTCTTCTTGTCATTTTTTTCTTTATTAGAGATGCCCTATACTCCTGATTGGGCAAAGCTTTTAGGAATGGAAGGGAAAGTAAGAGAATGGAAGGGAAAGTAAGAGAATGGAAGGGAAAGTAAGAGAATGGAAGAAAAAAGAAGAAATGCACTTATCAAGGGTTTAACCATTATTTAAACCTTCATTTACATCACAACTGAACAACCATGACTTATAATCTATGTGATGTGCAGTTCTAATTTTTCAAATCACCCATGCACGCAAGCTCCAAACCCCTGGTGAATGGAGCAAAAACAGCTACGAAAAGTTTGATTGTTAACTAGTTTTTGTTAAGATAACTCACATCTCAATCTTGCAATAAAAAACTTCACCTCCCAAAAAAGTTTGAAAATTTATTGTTGTGTATGAAGGGGGGTTAAGTGGGAGAGGGGTAGGTTTGGAACTCCTTTCTGGACCTGATTTGAAGATCCACAACCCTGTCCTGTATCCCATACATTGTTCAAAAAAAGCTATTTTTAATTTCATTCCTTTTAAATTTTTATTATTATTATTATTTCCTTTTCATTTTTTGGGTCTCGTGAAACATACTTGAATTTAGGCAATTTATTGGGTCACTCAGCTTTGTTAGGGGTTATGGCAGGTTGGGAGCTGGAGTGGGAGCTGGGGTGCGGGAAGCTGGGGTGGAAGCTGGGGTAGGGAGAAAAACTTGGAGAACAATGCTTAAGACACAGGAGAGAACCAAGAAGTAACTCTACGCAGATCACCTTGGTGATAGGCAAGCGCTCTCATCGCCACGCCACGCCACGCGTGCTTTCCTTATATTTCACACCATAACAGACATGCAGCAAGTTAGATAAGTTGTTGCAAAAAAGAAAAGAGTTGCTTCATGTTAGATGAGTTGCAGCATGTCAGATGAGTATGACTGATATAAACTGCTTCACTATCTCATTGTATGACATTTTTCGATTGCCAAATGAAAACACGCATAATTTCCCCACTTGGGAAAAATTCACAGTTTTTTGTGAAAAACAAAAACTACTTTTCATTGGATGGCACTTCTTCATTGACACGTGAAAAAATAGAGGGCGTTTCAATGATAAAATTCCATTGGACAGGCCTTTCTGAATGACAGCTGACAACTGAACACCATCAAGCTTTTTTGGGTTTTCAACAAAAGCTTCACCTTGTTTTTGGGTTTTCAACAAACGCGTCAAGTTTTATTTGGTTGAAAATGTTCATTCAAAAATTGTCTGATTATTTTGTCGTGCAATACACTGTTGGAGATTTTCTTGATCACAGTTCTTAATTCATGCATTTCTTAAATATAAAATAAATATGTTTTTTTTCTGATTGCAGCTGTCAAACATTTCCATTTATTTTATTATCCTTAAAGGCCAAGTTCAATCCTGATAAAGGCTTTAATGCTCTCATCTGGAATGTCATCCAAAGCTTTTTTAGCTTCATCTTTGTTACCTTTGTAATATTTGATCATTTCATCCATGTACTGCAACCACACACAATTCTGACATCCACTCATGCAGCACAGTTCTCGGGGGGGAGGTGATGGTGGAGGACCATCAGGGGTACCCTTTAGCTTGGTCAAGACTTTGCTTCTCTCTAAAATGAACAAAATCAGTACACCTTTTAATAATTAGAAAGCACAATGTAAAAGCTTTGTTTTAAAAACATGTTTGACTCTATTTTGGGGGAGGCTTGCATGGGTGGCATAGTGGTTTACAGCTTGCCTCTCACCGCTGTGATCTTGTTTTTAGCCCCAAAGATTTGCCTTCAAAATCTTGGCCCCCCATTAGCACTTAACCCCAAACAACCAATAAACATTTTCAACAAATTGAGAGCCCCCCCTTGTATGCATGACAAATGTTTTACGCACCTCTTTCATGTTCCAAAAAAATTCGGTAACAATTTTTCCTTTCCCCACATATCTTCACCCTCCCCTACCCCTCCTTGGCATATTAAATGAATTTTCCCTCATCACATGCACAATATGATTTGATTGAGTCTTTGGTTGAATGCTTTTTGGTTAGTTTAATTAAAATGTCAAAAATACTCTACCATTTCCTGTGGTTACTTGGGAGCTACAAAATCGTTGAATATTAGTGTACCTGAATGATGTCTGTARCAAAAGCAAAAGTTATCAACGAAAAATATACGTAATCTTAGCAAAATTGTTGAATATTGAAAAATTGAAAATCAGAAAATTCAATGTACCTGTGATTGAACGAGGGATTTCGAGATAACTAGAAATCGGAATGTCCGAAACATTAAACTATACTTTAGCTACGACTTTTAATTAGTCATAAGGCATTAGCGATCATTAATGTGTGCTAACTAAATGATATAAAACACGAGAGAAACAGAGCACTGTGAAAAAACACCCATCCATCCGCCATCTTGATTTGTTGTTATTACGTCATTTGTTCTTTTGGCAAACTGCTGGTCACGAAAATATGGAATCGATGGCTCAGACCATAGTCAAATGACAATTAATTTTTTCCTTTTATTTTTTCTTCTTACTTTATTTAACTATTTTAAAATACGGCAATTCGTTATCAAAAGATTTATTTTTCTTCAAAATCTTAAAATAAAGAAGAAAGAAGTGTAAAAGAAGAAAAGAAAAACCGTGGTGCATTTTGGGATGTTGTGACCGTGCAATAAACCGCTGACTCAATTTTGTTTACAATTCGAATTTCAAAGTTAGTCAAAATTAACTTATATTTTGATTCATTTAGATCTAAAATACCAGAATATCATGGGTAGAGTGAGCAAACATAGAAAAACCAAGTCTTGTGATCCATTTTACAAGGGAAAGAAGACAGATTTACCCACTAAAATCAAGTAAGTACGACTATGGTTGGCAGTCACGTGGAGTACATAAGCTCAACTATGTAATAAATGTCCTACTCTTCTTTGCTTCAGAAAGATTAAAAAATGTGCGGAAGGTAGTGGATTGGAAGAGCAAAAGATGCCTAGAACAATGAAAGACATTCTTGAAAGAGCAAAGCAGATGAAGGGGAAGAAGAAGAAGAAGCTCAAACGATTAGGTACAACAGTGGTGATGTACGACTGCATGTATGTTAAAATCTCCCTTATAAAGAGTGTCGTAGTTCAATTTTCCTCTATCGTGGACAATTCTCTCTTCTTCTTTCACTGGGCATGGGAAATGGAGATGTTTTGAATTGTAAAAGCCATAAGAAAAATTGTTATTACCTGTACATGTACAGTAGTAAGGCAAGAAAACTGTTTTTATTAGTATGTGTCTATAGGGGTCCTGCTAATGCATAAATATTTCATTTTCTAGAAAAAGTATGACAAAAAATACACTTTTACGATGTGGTGCATCTCTGGACTAATTTCACTTGTGTTGTGCAGGCTTCAAAATATTGATAGGCATTCATGATATTTGGGACCCAAATTTGTCCCAGAATCAGTTTACTTTACTAGTGTTGACAAGGGCTTCCTAGATATTGATTGACGTTAATAACACAGTGCTTTGGACATGAACCCGATTTGAACATTTGTGGGTGCTAGGAATCAGAACAAAAAATGCCATAATGCAACACCTTTAGAGGCTTTGCACCATCACTTAATGAAACTTGCACAATTATTATAAATACCCCTAGATGAAGGAAATAAAAAGGTGAAGAAAAAGAAGCAAGCCTTGTTCCAGCAACAGAAAGGTGAAAGCAAAAAGAAATATTTCAACAGAATTGACCGTGAAGCTGCTTCAGCTGTGGTGGAGTCCATGAAGAAAAACAAAAAAATGAGTGAAAGAAGAAAAAGGTAAGAAATTATGAAACCAGTGGCACAGCATTGTTGGTAGTACCAATTGCCTCTTTTTCCCAATGATTTTAGCACATTATGGGGCATGTGTTGCAAATYAAGCTAATCCAAGCCTCTTACTGCTGTGGTCACAGGTTCTCAATACTAGGAACTACCCTAAGGATGGTAGAGTAAACACCACCATCATCAAATCGGTATTGGTAGGATAATGATAGCATGAAAAGAATTATAAAAAAATAATGGCGTAATGGGAGGTTCTCATATAGCACATTTATAATTCGTATCAGAATGTGCTTTACTTTTTCATGACCAGTGGAGTACTTTAGAAGCTATTAGGATGTTGGTAGCTCAGTGTGTTGGTTTAACATTGCAAGGATTTGTAGGGTGATGGCAGATTTTCACTAGAATATGGGCAGGCCAATATGTTGCCAATATAATACTGACATCATTATATTGTTTACATAAATTACCCATATGGTTATATAATAATGTATGCAAAGTTGTTTCTTGGTTCTACTCTCCGTCAAGGGTTTTCTATGTGTCAACTGTGTGTATTGCACACAGACCCCGTAAATGGGATCCGCTCGTACGCGTGGGATCTTACCATGTGTGTATCATGGTAAAGTTAATGAGGTCCCACACAGCATAAGAGCTCATTAACTTTAACTCCCTGGGGAACTCTTTGATGCCGACAGTATTTAGATTCAGGGGGAAGTTGTTTCTTGGTTCTACAGTACTGTCTGTTAAGGGTTTTCTATGAGTTCTACAGTTTTCTTGCCTTCCATCTTAATCTTATTTTCACTTTCTCTAAATCTTAGTCATCTGAAAAAAAGAAAAGAAAAAGAAAAAGTAAAGAAGAATCCTGAAAGAGCTTTATCAACTATAAAAGAATTTAGTGACTTCAAAGGTACATGTAAAAGAAATTCTGAATGGCCAGTTATGAATATTTGGAACCTGTGACTTCTCTAAGTCTGCCTAGCAACACAGCCAGTCCAGTTTTTTCACGTGTATTTTGTCAAACAACTTGTCCAATTTTTTTGTGCACTATATATACACCACACAGTATACAAATATTTCAAAAAAGGGTGTTGAAGGTTTTTTCACATGCAGTATACAAAGCCGACATTGCAGTATGGTCAAATGTGCAATATACCACACAGTATACAAATATTTCAAAAAAGGGTGTTGTAGGTTTTTTCACATGCAGTATACAAAGCCGACATTGCAGTATGGTCAAATGTGAATGAAATCAGCACAAGGTCACAACAACACAGAATTTTATGGAACTTTGACTGTACTATTTTCCAGTATGATTTGTTGCGATGTTATTTTTATTTTATTGAGTAAAATACATTTCAAGTAAGCAAAATGCCAGATGCAGCTTGCAACAATTAAACCCTCGCCAACTATTTTTGAGTTGCCCTAAGTCTCTTGAAACAGATATTTTCCTCTTATATCTTATCTACCTTATAGTTTGTAAAACGATATCAGTTTTAAAGATTAGCTATACAAACTGAAGTGTTCTATAAAACAAAATGTATTTTKGTCTTTAGATGAGGTGAAGTTTGGGGATGTTGTCTTACAGCCTCCAATGTTAACTGCAAAACCTCGCAAGGCTCCTCTAGAGTCCAAGGTATTTACTCTCACCAACTCTTATTTGTGATAGTTAGTCCATTAGAGCTATAGCCCCACCTAACCTTTCCTCTCTACAATTCCCGAGACATTTAGAACCATCAAATTTTATCAATACCCTGAAACAGCCTTTGGGATGATCAAGGTCAGGTAACCACTAACTTGCAAATCATACTCTAGATTGACCTCTGGGCTAATGAAAGTCAGGGTATGTCAAAACTTAGATTGAATTGGAATTTAGCATGTTTTTTTTTGCGGGGGGGGGGGGGGGGGGGGGGGGGACTGGAGAACCTGGATTAAAAGGTCTTAATCAAGTGAGAGACCTTAGTTACAAACTCTCATCACATGTGATGCTGAGTGTGGGAATTGAACCTACTGGCAAGACCCCAGATGCYGCATAGAGTTCACAGCCTTAATAATTTGAACATCATAAAATATTTTTTAACAGGCAAAGAAATCTTTACTGCTTAGTAGCAAATTTCTCTCTAAGGAAAACCAAACCCTAAAATCTTCAGACAAACCTGAAGGTTCAGATGATAAAAATTCAATTCCAAAGTCAAAGAAAAGAAAGCACATGACRGAAATAGAGAAAGCAGTTCTTGATAAGGAAAGGATGAGAGTGATTGAGGCATACAAGGCAGCAAAGAAGAAAACTCTTGGTGAAAAATGAAATGCGTTAATAAATAATAACATTTATCTGAT